CGTACGCTGCTTGGACGCTTCTGGTCGCATGCGGTACCCGCGCAGATGCTGTGAGAGGGGTGGAGCTTGGAGGTGGGGCATGACATGAGTGAAGCAGAGAGGGTGGGGGAGTGGCGTGAAACCTGTTTTTCTTCAAATTTTTAGTCGAAGTCTGCTCTCTTCTCAATGTAACAGACTGCAGCTTTAACATAATGCAACCTCCACTATGCTTAACAACCAGCTCTGTATTCTTGGGCTTGAAAGCTTCATATTGATATCTCTAACCCTGTATCTACATAATATATCTTAACAGCTGATTATTTATCTTGTCTGATCCTAAAGATATACACAAGAAGAGCTTCTGTCTGATGACAGCTATTTATTTCTGTTCTTTTTAAATCTGTTCATTTTGGTGCAAGGGTTTCTCTCTTGATCTTAAAATTCCCTCTATGGCTAGTTTTTGGTGATATGGTTGGAACCAGTTTGTGATAGTTATGCTTAAATAACTTGGTCCAACATAAAAAGCCTCATTGCCAAGTAGACTTTTACATATTTGAGGAATTTGTTTTGCTGGTACAGTGCTACAAGTAGATAAACATTCAGCTGACATACCTTCATTTGGAAATATGTTGTGTGGAATAAACCAGGATAAGCTGTATAGGAATCTACTTTTTGTAGAGGAAGAGCACCATGGCAGATATTGAGGATTTACAATAACGACAATATTGAATTAGGTCAATTGACATAGTATTTTCATGTACTGAGATATACATATTATTATCGGTAGTAGCAGAGGATCAGCCTGAACCCCACCAGATACGTATGGTGTGGTTTGCAGAGAACTCGTATTTCAGTCCAGGCGTTTACCCTACCACACCTTTTGAATTAAAACTTTGCAGACATTCAAACCTTTAAAGAAATAAATGTAAAGCAGATGTAATTCTTAAGATTTTGTAAGGTTCCCAGAACAGTTTTACTTCATTTCAAAGTGTTGCAAAGCATACTAAACATGTTTAGTCAATGCGGCTGTTGACACCAGGGCTGTCTAATTTCTTTTAAACATACTGAGCTTCTAGTTTGTAGTCTATCGGCAAAGGAAGCTCCTCATCTGATCTGCAAGCACCATCCCGAGCAATAATCTCCCTGGATCAGTGTGTTTTCATTTTACTGATAGCAGGAAGGGGAACAGAGAAAAAGTAGGCAGACACAAACGCACAAAAAAAAGACTCTAGTTTAACTCCATTTAAAGTTATTATTACTGTAAACTAATCTCCAGAGGGGCATTATATATCAATCCAGTCAAGTGATTATATATACAATTCTACTTTATCTCATGACTGTTTGTGATTTTACTACTTAAATGTTTGTTATAGAAGCTCTTTCTCATAACTTAAGCCTCTCTTGTTTCCACCAACAGTGCGGAAACACGTAACTGAAGCTTTGTGCTCTCATGTTAGACTGTAGTATGATTTTACTACGGTACATTGTTTTCCTGTGTTGGTTTAACAATTTGTTTAAGGTTTATCCAGAAGACCAATAACAGCATGAAAAAACAAACAGAGGACTAAAGACAGGACCAGCCTTCCTTTTTCTATTTGCATTTAACTGCTTGTATTTGCAGTTAGATCGTCCATGCCAGACGAATATCTCCATAAAGAGTAATTTATTCTAACCTTGAATAGAATATTAAATAGTCTCTTCATGTGAGTTTGCATTGTATTGTATGACTTGTGATAAAACATAGTTTTATGTTTTTTATTCGCTTCTTGCGGCTGCATGTTTACATTTTCTTCACCTTTCTTATGTTTCAGGTGGGCAGCAGAAGGAGATGTTTGTGTCTAAATCTGACACGAGAGTTATAATACCGGACTACAACCCTTCCAAGGACTACATTATTAGTGTCATTGCTGTGAGAGGGAGCGAGCAGAGTAGACCACTTCAGGGCAGATTTAAAGGTTTGTTTCACATATTTTATTTCTGCCTTGCAAGAAAAGCCTTCCTCTATTTTTCTATTTTATTAATTTTTTTTCAAATGTATGTTCTGCTTTGCTATATTTTTTTTCTTTTCTTGCTTTTTATTTTTTTATTTTTTTTTTATACCTTATCTTGTTTTAAACCCTGTTTGCCTATCTCTCTCAGATTCATTTGTTATCCGGTTTCTTTGTTTTTCCCTGTGGCATCTCTGTTCTATTGCTATGTTTTTCTTATTGCTTATTGTTCTACTACATTTAGCTTTCTCCCATTCTGCTCATCTCGCCTTACAGTAGTGGACAAGTGTACTTCTAGGACTGTGACTGTCCACTGCAATGTTAAAAAAACTTTGTAATACTGATGGTATTATAACAAGAACTCTATTACTGACGTTGAGTATTTAAAGGCTAGGTCCATTTAGTCCTCAATATATTAAACGCACTTAGAGATTAGGTAGAGTTAACAACCAAGGTCATCCAGAAGAGATAAAGATTCAGATTACAGAATACTTAACCAATTCATGCATAATTCAAACAAAAGATAAAAAATAAATAAAAACAAAACTAAAAAAACAACAACAGTAGAATATGTTTTATCATAATAATGAAATATGTAGAAAAGAATCTCACTAAATTATTAGTTTTTTTACATTTCTGGTTTCTTGGTCTGGAGATGAATACATACATAAATAAAAGAAAACTGGGGAATAAAAATCTAATTTTTGAAATGTATTTCTTTTATGTATTTTCAAATGGACATAACCTTTATTATAGTTGTTAATTAAAATTGATTTGCATTAAATGACCTGCTTCATCTTTAATCTGACTAACCGTATTTTATTTTTGGTATTAAATGTTTTGAGACCAAATAAAACCCAGAAGAAAATGAACAAAAAGACATTTGCCACATCAAAACATGATTGAATTTCATTTATCCCCTCTGATCACCTCATTTGAAATGTTGACTTAGTAAAGGGATATAGTATTTACATATGTTCACATTTTATATATGTTTTACTTTTATATGCCAGTAGCTTACGCCTATTGTTCAGGTTTTCTGAAAGATTATGAGTTGCTCCCATATTAATGTTTTATGATTATTATTATTTTTTTGCTCAATTAGTTAGAAAATAAAGCCCATTATTTGTATTTACATTTACAACATCGCTTGGCAGGAGGAATGATACAGTGTATTGGTGCATGTGGTAAAGAAGGAAGTAATGGACTAAGCCAGTTAGAACCTGCTAGTGAAGTTTATAAAAATAATGAAGAAAAGTTCAAGATCTAGTGTGAAAAAAAACAGAAAAACATTTAAATTCAAGAGGGATAAGACTCAAATAGCGCTCTGAATTTAAGCAGGATTTATGCTGCAGAGGCATTCGTATGTTGCTGCAGAGCTGATTAATAAACGTCCATATTAATACTGATACTAGTAAAAGCAATGCTACTCTTAGTCTCTACAGTGAAAGTTAAAAATGAAATTATAAATAGATAGACTAATTGGTTGAAATCAACACTTCCGGCTGCAGTTTTCTGTCACAGCTGCTAAAATCCTGAAGACAGATCCGGCTCATCAATATCCTTACCGGCGAAATAGCATTTTCATACGTTTAACTTAAGTTGATTCTGATAAAAATGTTTCAGCTGATCACTTTTTAAGATGTACTTTCATTTAAATATGTCTCACCTTGATTCACTAGAAGTGTGTAGAAGAGTTTCAGTAAAGCTCCCAGCTGTTGCTTTACAGGATAGGCTCTATAAGGTAGCTGCCTCAATTATTGTCATCTAGTGTGCTGAAAGTTCCATGGTACTGTACTACAAGAAAATGGCACATTGCCTGTTTATTTCTGACCACGGAGATTTTATGACTAAATTCAGAACTTTTAAAGAAATTTTTGCAAATTTGCCTGTTTTCTGTAAAGCTTTCTCAGTTATGCTCTGCTTTCTAAACACAGGTCAAGAACTAAGCCAGTTATGCATCATAAATACTACCTACTATACAACATTTCTTATGTTTTTTGCTGAGTAAAACTACATTTACCTACAATCTCTTAACAGGATTCCCTGCTTCACCCACCATCAACATTATTTTCTTCATCTTCCATTTTGATTTAAAAAAGGCTGCAACTCAAATATACGCAAAAGTTCAGATCTTTACTTCTGAAAATTTCCCTTTAGGTATTTTGTAGTTAGAGGAACACTCCCTCTTCACTTTATTTGCCAAAAGCTTGCCTTTGCCTCGCTAGAATTGTGACCTTCACCTCAATCCCCT